TCTGTTAAAAAAACAAGCTGGACAACCTGGTACAACATGGACGTCTCTTCATCTTAAAAAAAACTTTGGATGGTGGACAGAGAAAATATATTATATTGACAAGTGAACATTGGGCATGATTTTAAATTACTACTGATTTCTTCAATGTTCTTTGGCTATTATAAAAAATATTCCATTTAAAAAAATACTCATAGGACATTTACTCAATCTTTGCTCTTATCATTACTGTTTACCTCTTAAATTTTATTTGATAGACTCAGCATAGACATTCTGTTGATATTAACAGAAGCTAAATGGCTTGAACTTAAATATGGACACTTAACAGCTTTAGGCTTGGACAGGACAGGAGGTTATGCTTTCAAAACATTTTTTTAGCTTAACAAGAACAAGCCAAAATAAAGTATCCAAACTAAAGCAATGTATGTGTATATTATAATATTATGTGTATATCAATGGCATAGTGAAATCTGCACAGCTTAGAATCTGACTGCAAATCTGAAACAGTATTTTTTGATCTTATCAAAGACTTGGATATGTTTTTCGTACTTAAGTGACAATAACAGCAATAGGCAAACAAATATTCACTGTGTATATTGAAATGCCAAATTAAACTCAGATTATAATGATTGATTTGTTGTTTAAGTTAACAAATAAGCTAATCTAACTTCGAGAAAATCCAATTTGTAGCTTCTTATTTAAGTGTTATAGCACTGGCTGCCAGTCCCTGCCTCATAGCCCTGGTTCTTTTTTCCTTTCCTGTTTATTTTGCATCCTTGAATAAAAATATTGGATTTAATCGCCAGACATAAGTAATTGCAATCCTTTTATGTTAAGAAAATAAAAGGCTTACTGCCATGTGGCAAATGGAAGTGAATGTATTTGCAGTTGACAGTAGGTAAGATTGTGTATGAGTCTGTTAATGGATCTTTGTTTTTCTATGGAAAATTATTTATATAATGTTTTGTATATTCATCCTAAATTCATCCATGTCCTGTAACTTTCAAAGATAATGAATAAAAGCGGCTGTAATATTTAACAAATGCTTCTGCAATAAGATGATGTTCAGTGTTCATAAAGCAGAAAGGCACTCTGGGTTGTAGATGACATTCAGTGATGGATTTGATGGCCTTAGATTAGGGCCGTTTTGCAGGTCGTTAAAATTCTGTTTCTGTTTCTCATTTGACCTCCATTTTTGAAGGGTCCCAAGCTTAAGCTCTACTCATTTAATTCTCCAGCCCTGCTTTATCGGTGAAATGACTCCGATACAAAATATGTCCTGTTGTAAAGCCAGTTAGTTTTGTATAGATTTTGTACTGTAAGAATACAAATATAAAGGAAAAGATTTTATTAGGAATTTTTTAGTTTTTCTACTTTCAGCCAGAAACAACTAAAATAATAGAGGCAATCAAAAATAATAGAGATCAATGTTTTAAATTATTCTTGTATATTAGAATTGGCAAAACTGTACATTCTGGTTTAGAGAGAGCTTATTTAAAACCTTTTAGAAGATTGTCTGACTCAAAAATATTTAAAATTGCATTTTTAATTGCTGTTTGATCCTTCTGGAATTTTGGCACTCAGGTTACCTCAATTGATATAGATATTGTCTGAATTACCCTTTTTAAAACCCTTCATTAGATTTTTTTTTTCGGTTAGAGGCTCTCTTTTCGTACATTTTCCTCCTAATTTTTAACAGTCTGTGGCTGAAAATGTTTTTTGGGCTTACTCTTTTTTTTTTATTCCTCTAAGAGAGTCCTGGCGCATAATTATAGCAATGTAGGAACCAGGAGCAATTGATTAAAAGCTTAGTTAATTCAAGGGGCTTCATGTGTAAAAAACTTTCTGTTCAAAAACATGCAGTTAAATTAATTTGCAGGACCCATGCAATCTTTATAAATCTTCAATAAAAAACAAAAACCCTGCCCAAAAAATAAAATGTGGCTCTGTTTTATTAATTTTAACTGAAGGAGCCTCGAACATAATTTTTTTTCCCTCGAGTTTTAGCTTTTATTCAGAGATGGTGCTGCTCTGCTGATACATGGATGGCTTACTAGCTGGTTTAGATTTTCCAGCGCAAAAAGAGGCGGTAAGATTTGACTTGTCCGTTTGAGCAAAGGACTTTTGGGTACTTAACAGAAACCTTGAGTTTTTCCCCATATAGACTAAATCCATATGTTGTTGTTCAGATAGACAACCTTCCTAAAGAAAGCTTGAGGGTCATATTAAGGTATTTATCATTATGTTGTAAAACATTACAAGGATCAACATTAAATCAATTATTTATTGTAATTCAGTGGCTAGACAGTGCTTTCTATTTTCTATTTTGATCCATTTTGTTTTAGTTTGTCACTGCTTTCATTCAATAAGTTGTTGGTTGGCTGTAATAAAACTCCCAGAGGTTTGTCTCTGTAAAAGCCTAACACCATTGTCGCCATGGTTACTTTGACATGCTCTGGGTGCCTCCGGGGTATTTAGATTACTTTGGATATTAATTTTTGTAGACGGGCACTTGGCATTTCAAGCAGTTGCTTTTATTTTATTCCCAACAAATTTCCAGAATCCTCCCTTTGACCAATTTTTATTATTAAAATCTGCTCACTGTTTTATGCATTACAACCCCAGACCTTCCACCCTAATTTAAAGATAAGATGTAGAGTCAGAAAAACAACATGGCCAAAGTTCCAACCATATTATCTATCACTTATTTAAAAAAACAAAACAAAAAAAAAGTAATATGTGGACGCACTGTATATACTTTATATAACCCTTGCACCTTTTTCTTCCTTTGGCTATTCTTCTTCTTTGACTGTTAAAGCTGATGTAACAAGTACAGTACATTTCTCCTCTGTGAGATGAATCAAGCCTTCAAATAATCACAAATGGTGGATTATGTGTTTCAGTACAACCAGGAAAAGAAAATTATTCCCAAGTCCAGAGTTTTTCTGTTCAGCTTTTTAACCATATACTGTATCCAGTATATATAAAACTGATGGATAGTGGATGAAGCTGGTGAGCAATCCTGGTCAATAAAACATGCTGTTTAACATGATAGAATAAAATATCTATTAACTGGATATAGAATTGTGAACTTTAGGTCTTGATCTGAGATATTAATGAAGAGAGTTCACCAGTTATATTACCAGTTTTATTTCAGTAACAATATGCATGTTTCCATTGACAGTTGACCACAGCACATTTAAGGTCATCAGGTCAGTTTTTTAAGCAACAAACACAACTTTTCTATTTATTTGAGGCAATATCTAGAGCGAGGCCTCACTCATTCACTTAGCTGCTCTACCAGGCAGTAACATGTTTGATCTGTTTTACATAAATATCAAAATATCAATGTCTGGTACATAACCCTCTCTTGGCAACTCACAAGTTCTTGTGTTTCTCTGCACCAAGTAATTAAAGGCTATCTGTTATAAAATAACTGTGGAAAGATGTTTGCAAGAAGCTGAAGAGGCTCTGCAAGTTTGTTTTTAAGGTACAGTTTGGATTAGAGTTGGCCAGTCAAATACAGATGACATGAATGTCATGCCTGCTGGTCTGTTCGCTTTCGTGTGGGGAGTAATCCACCCTCTCCAGAACAAACCCAGGATAACTGGTGACCAGAACGAACTGCTGAACGAGAACAATAGTGTATGTCCAGTTGGGGTTAGCCCTAGACTCCCTAAGGCCTTTCTAGACCTACTACGTGTAATCTGCCGAACCTCCTCAACTTCAGGGATAAATCATTAGAGGATTTTACCGTAGTTTTGAAGACATCCTGCCAGGCAGCCTTGTTTCAATACCAAAGAAACTTGTCTGTTTGTTTTGAACGTTTAGCAACTTCAGCCATGAAATTCTTTATTGAGAGAAAGTCCTGTTAGTTATCTAAGTAAGCAAGCCAGCACTTTTCTGGATACAGTTTGGATAACACAGATAAAATGGAGTTGAAAACATTACCATATACCTTCTTTAGAAAGCCCAAAGTCATCATGCTCTGTGTTTTATCCAGTGCATTTAATAAATTTCAGACTTTTTCCAAATCTGCAGATGAAAGGTGTGGATACATTAAACATTTCTTCCTGAAAAATACGTATGTGACTAAAATGTTGTGTGTTCGACTGGGGGGTGGGTTTCAGAGGGGGTTCTGAACCATTCTTTGAATTGGTTTTATGCTTTTTAGGAAGGGCTGATGTGGTTACTGTGAAATGGAAACAAATTTCCAAAATAAGTTGTGACGTAAAAAATTATTTGCCTCATATGATTTATCAGTTGTTTCCTTTCTCTGCTTCTTCCCAGATATTTCCATGAAGGGAATTTTTAAGTATTGATTTAACCAAACTTTATACTTTGCTTAGCCTGGTTAATTCATTTCAAACCAGGTGATGGAAACGTTTCTACATAGTATCGTCCTTTATGTTTTGTTTTTTTGCTTCTTTACTGAAACTATATGATTATATCAACTGAAAAATGGATGCATAGAATGTTGTTTAAAAAAAAAAGTCATATCCGATTTTTTTTTTTTTTTACCAAATGCAATGAATAAAAAAAATTTTCATTCGTTTAAGTTTCATATTAAATATGACAAATGACATACATCACTTTTATTTCAATCATCTCCTTTGGGAGGTGACCTTAATTTAAAAGACAACGAAATTCAAGCTGTAGAAATAAATAAAACAATGTTTCACAATGAACCATGAAAATATTTAAATGATTACTGCTGGTGATGTTACTCAGTCGGCTAGTTTATCAGTTATAAGTACACATCTAAGAACATAAAGGGATTGTGGAAAGAAAATCTTTTTTTTTTTTTTATTACATCTTCATAAAATCAAAATTCAATTATTTGATCAATTCTATTAAGCCCCAGATGTCACATATATTGTTTTTTTTTTATAATGATTCCGATGAGCGATCCTCTAACTTATTTTGCTTCAATGTGGAATTGTATGTGTAAAGCTGCTCTCAGGCTGTTCTATCATCCTTACCTTCTTATTTCTCTCCACCAGGTCCAGGTAGAGGATGTGGAGAATGAAGACAAGAGGTACACCCTTTTCCAGGAGATGTTGGCTGGAGCACAGAAGTGGGAGGACTTTCAGTTGATCATGCTTCTTCTACAAGCATGGCCGCCCATGATGAAAGAGGAAGTGTAAGTTTCACTTTTGGTGAATCTGCAGCTCACTAGTAGGATGAGAAAATCAACACCTATCTTATGTGTTATTGTGCTACAAGAGCCAAAATTTGACTTTCAGTGACTGTTGAAATATAAACTGTTATATTGTGCAAAGAGAACAGGCGAGGATATATAGTACAGATAGGCCATGACTTTAAAAAGATTGAAAGATGGTGTAATATTCCCTCATTTTTGTAGCATTTCTCTAAGGGTATTAAACTGTGGCTTCTTAAAGTTATTGTTTAAACCTAGCCAAGGAAAATCTACCAAAAGAACAGAGGAAGCCAACCTATGATAAATCACATTTTCCAGTGAATGTTAGATGTTTATCAGGGGAGGAGGCATTTAGGGAGGAAGACCATCTGGCAGAGACAGCATGTTGCTCTGGCTAGAGCTTTGATATAACACTTATTGCATTGGGGCATCTCTGGGCACAGCTTCACACTAACAAAATCTTTGAGTAAAGTTTCAGCCAGTTTAGTTTCCTGTTGGCTCAGACAAAGTCAGCAGGCAGGTGGAGTATGTTCCGCTGAGGTTTATATCTTTAATTGTTCATTTTGAACTTTTGCACATTTACAAACAGCTTTTTAATCTAACAGTTTGAACCTGTTGGTTGTAGTTGTCCCTACCCACCTGCAATGATGTATTCTCAGAGGGACTTACCACCTCTTTAAAACATGTTTTAGGTTCCAGGCGTTGTTGTTGTTTGTTTAAATTTTTTATGTATTTTTTATAAGCAAAGTAACATACAGTAGTAGCTGTTTAAAAGTTTCTCTTCAAGCCGAAAGCCAGCAGGATGGCCTCCAATTTCAGCCAACTTCCCTTCAAGCACCAGCCTCTGGAGTTGCCCTATTTAAGTTCAACCAAAAAAGGGAGCATCAAAATGATCAAAAATTTTGAGAATCTTTACCAAAGACTTCATCCATGCATACAGTTTGTTTTGTACATAGCCTTTTTTCTCGTTTCAAGAAAGAGAATAAAAAAAAAAGTGTTTTTAGACAGCACTTTTTTTCCCCCAAAATATAATATTCCATAAAAATATATATAAAAAAAAATCATCATGATGCCAGAAGTTTTGACCACAAAATATATATTTTTTTTATTAAGATTGCTTTTTGTGCAGCTGAATAATATAGAGACAAAATTGTCCCCATAGATCATATTCTGTATAACAAAATGTTCAAATTCATGGGTGGAGGATATGCACATGTAAACATCTACCAAATTGAGAAATCTATTTTGTGGCAGCTTTTTGGTCTCTTTAAGTACTTCTAAAGGTCCGGTGCAAACTGATGAGCAAAAATGTCGGTGGTCATTGTTGCCACATAGGAGGCGTTGAAACAACGCCACAGGATGGAGAGATATTCTGTGTGCATGTAAACATATTTTGACTGTCAAAACTAACATTAGTAGAATAACGTTAGAAAAGGAAAAATGTCTAAAGGATTAAGTTAATGCACCAGGATAACAGACAATCTTTTTATAATTAAACCAAATCGGAAAAAAGTTAATAAAAATATAACATTGAAAGAGGAAGAATGAGTACACATTTCTTTGCAACAGGAATTCTATTTTGCACAAAGCATGGTATTTTTATTTCTTTTGTTTGGAGCACTTTAAGAACGGCTATGGGTTTTAATATGAATATTTTTTGAAATATTATGTTTTCTGGATGATTATCAGTATTACCTCTATCTCTGTGGCTTTGAACATTATCTTTCTGTGTCGGCCACTCTCAAACTGCCTGTGGAACATTCAATCTGCTCGTTTCAATGACTGAAATCAGATCTGTTTACATATCTGACAATTTAAGCAGCAATCTTTAAAGATGTCCAACAACACACCCTCTTATTGCACGTATTAAAAAAAAGAAAGTTGCACAGGGACTTAAGAACCTTTGACGTTGGAATCTTTGAAGATCATCCCTAAGATGTCAACAACAAAAATACCATTGAAATGATTCATTATTTCGGGAAAACACATTTTTCAAATTGTTGTCTAATAGACTTGGAGTACAACAAATTTAGCAGTTATCAGATGATTTATTCTTTTTTTTGTGGTATACTTAAGTTATAAATTGGCCATCACTGTTTGTGAAATATGAAAAAAGTTTTAGGTTTTACAATGACTTTAATAAGGGAGCCTGTTCATCCTCATCATGTTTTGTAAAGAGCTTGTTTTCTTTTTTACCAGAAAAAAACTTCTTAATTTAAGTATTCTATAAATTTAATGTGGTTGGCCGTGTGCATGTTTTCTTTTTATGCATACAAAAATGTTCTGTGAAGACGTCTAAACCGAATATATGACAGTAAAGCTTTATTATTCATTTTTATTTCATGGATTCCTATACTTATCTCAACATTAAAATGTTAGATTAAGAAGTGTGATCATTTTGAGATGATTATTACGCTCTTTAAATTCAGATGCTTACATATATTGTAAATATTTTTTTTGTGTTTAGTAACATTGCCCTTAAGCTGTCTGACTTGGGTTAAACATGCTCACTCAGACCTTTCAGCTCTGCAAACAAATTTCCAAGAGATTGAAATAAAGACTTTGTGATATGAAGTCCTAATCCTAGCCTTTGTTTTCTCCAAACCACCAGGAAACTCATTTGGTCATAAGATTTGGATCTTTGTCCATTTGAAAAACTCATATCTGCCTTAGCTTTAATATCCTGGTAGATATCTCATGATGCTCTTTCAGTGCATTTCTTTTATTATTCTTTATCATGATGCCATGTTTTTTTGCAAGAAAAACAATAGTCCAATGTAGCAAGATGTCCCTATAACATGATGCTGACAGCCCTGAACTTTTAACAATGAATGTGGGCTTCTCTGGTTTGCATCTTCACTGCTTTGGGTGGAGTAATTATTTTATGCATATTTGTATAAACAGGCCATCAGGAATTTTTGCATGTTATTGTTACTTTAAAACGGGATTAAGCAAAGGCACACGGCTTCTTGCATACACATTGTGTTCCACTGTAAATAGTGTGTTTAAACTGTTACAGACACGTCTGGATACATGAAGTTGAAAAACTTTTTAAGGATTAGCAAGAGTTTTCTGTAATGTTTATTAACGCTAAATGATGAGATTGCTTTTATGCTCCTCTGTTGTTCTCCATTGACAGTGGACATTGTTCTAATGAATCTAGGGAAAATACAGAGTTTAGATTCACAGTTAAAATTATTTATAATCTGAATTGCTGCAGCGACACTCCTGGTTATATCCAGTAGGTCCAATCCAGTTTTTATTGCTAACTGTAGAGTTTGCTCTATTAAGCCAATAGAACAAGCCAATAAGGTGGTTTTCATGCTACTGGAAGACCGCCATGCAAGCCCACACCCGGGGGTGGGGCAGACGTTTCTGTTGTCCAGATGCCCATCGACTTGGCTTAATTAAGTTGACTTTTTGGTGGATGCCTTAGCTTTTGGGTGCACTTTCTGCACCCAATATTTAGCAAGTTGAAAATCTGTGATAAATGTGGTAAGAGTGATGCATAAAGTTGCAATGAGAGACAGAATGTGTCTCTCTGCATGTGAACATTTTAGGAATGTCAAACAGAACAATGGTAGATATATTTTTATCTAACAATGCCATTTTGGACCTGCATGAACAATACCAGAGAATGGAGAGATATTCATAAACATATTTTGACTGTCAGAAATAACAAAAGTAAAATATTAATATAGACAAAATGCCTACGCAGGTGGCCACAATGTAATGTAGCAGGAGCAGGCAATGATCATACAATTAAACCAAAGCAAAAAAAGAATAATTGAATATTTTGGCATGTTTATTTAAAAAAAAAAATTTACAGCCTGCAAAGAGACGGTGTGTAAACAGAAAACGTGGTACGATAATTTGGGTACATGCCGCCATTTAGACACATCACCACTTAAACATTGAAAAGCTATTGTCGAATAGGCAACATTTCTATAGTTTTATAAACATCCCATCACTCCGATTTTTTTTTTTTTTTTTTGTCGGACTTGCAACACTTTAGCTGTTTATTGTACAAACTAGCATTCCGACAGTTGCATCCGTAGAAAGATCATTGTGACATTACAGCCCTAGCAATCCTCAGAGCACCTGTCTGGGTGTGCTGGTCTTTCCACTCTCAGAAGCTTATTGCGCTCAGCTGCATGTGGTTTAACCCCCCTTTGCATGAGAGTACATGTGCTTACCTGATGTGTTCTGGTCTGTCTCCCTGTATTCCTCATGTTTATTTCCATAAATCATGTGCAAGCATGCCTTTCTTATGTTTGTGTGCAACTGGAGTGACCTACTGGTGTAGTAATACATAAAGTCATAGTGGTGACGATCTCTTAAACTGAGATTTCCAGAAGACCGCCAACATTTGTAAATCCTGCATTCAGTGTCATTCAGAATTGGGCTCTTCAAAGCACAAAACAAAGCACTCTGCTGCATGAATCCAACTTCCTTTTATCTGCTTTCATCCAACTCAACATGTCTTAATACATTGCTAACATGCCTCATATATCCTTCCAGTAGCTTCTCATGTCTGTTTTATTTCCTTCATCGTTTTCAGGGTGCTGTCAGCATGACCTGGTGGATTTATAAGATGATGGGATGTTTGGGTTTCAGCCTGTCAACCACACATCAGGCCCAGTCAAATCATTCAGTTACGATCTGTGGCCGATTTCTCTTTGCATCTATATTTATAAACTTTCTTAAGAAATGACACTGAGCAAAAACACTGAGTTGTGTGTCCAGCAAGAACCTTCTAATACTTCAAAATCTCCCTGCTCATAATTGAATTCTATAGCAGGATAAGTGGTGGTTTTAAAAATACATTTGAACCAAATATCAGTCACTTTGACAACAATCCGCAGCAACATAAAAAAGCAATAGGAAGATAACCGGACAATAAAACAGCATAAATCCTCTTGTCCTCTTTTCCACTGTCCATTGACATAATTTATTTTAAAATATTTTGACTAGATTTGCTA